CAAGAAGCTACAGAGGGTCACCAACCCCAGCTTCACAGTTGGGATGGGTCTAGTGACTCCTAAAACAAATGTCTCGTATTCAGAAGGACCAGCATCCCCTTCACAGCCTTGGCCAAAACACCTCCCCAAGTGGATACTGCACTCCAGAACCGGTGGTCCCATGTACCAAGGACTACAACTTGTAGTTGATGTCACCTCCAGAAGATGCTTTGGCCAGACACTGGAGAAAACTGGAGGTGAATAGGTTAAGAGTGGGAAGTGGGCTATCTTGCATTGAAGCATGCCCATGAGGACAAGGAGGCTTCAAATACAGGCTGCAAGGTACAAACGAACCTGCACCACACTAAGCTGAATGCAAGCTGCTAGCCTTCTCCATCACTTAAAAAACACAGTGCCAGCTTCTCTGAACATGTCTTGGGTCCACTGACTTCCAGCTTCTCCCAAATTCTCTGCCATCCTCCTGAATCTCCCAAATGTATGCCACATATGAGGGGTTAAAATAGCTGGTATGCCACATGGGTGTAACTCACTCAGCAAGAAATACCTTTCAGGAGCTCCAGCACCTCCCTGACGCTTGGACTCTGTCTTGTAACAATGCACAACAAGCTTTTCTCCTTCCTAAGCTATTTGTGCCCAATAAACAGTAAAGTACTAATTCTGCGAGGAAGACACGGTTGTGGCTCCATGTTACCAGCACCAGAGGGCCAGCACACACCTCCTGATGAAAGGGACTAAGGATACCTTGCTCTGCAGTGTTCCTGTAGAAACATAAGACTCTCATCACCCAGAAGCACCAGGCAAATCAACACAGCCACCCTGACCATCCCTCCACAAGCGTTACCTCAGTAAAGACAAGACCAAAGAGTCTTCCAAATGAATGGAACTGAAAGGATAGAACGTTGTAATTCAATACATGAATTTAGACAGAATCTTGTCTCTGAAACTTTTATTTTCTGGCTAAAAAGGACATTATGGGGACAAATAAAAAGTCGGCAGATCCAGTAACAGCACTATCCAGCTGATGATTCTGACAGCTGCATGTTACGTGGTGGGCTGTTAGGTAATACACATTTAAGTGTTAACAGTAGGCCAAGGGGATCATGGAACAAACGGTACATACACACACCAAGAGGGAGAACTTTATAGCAAACATAACAGGAGCTCATACTGCAGACTCAAATGCAGCAAATAAACAGGGTTCTTTAAGGCTTCTTGAAAACTTTTCAAAATGAAAAATGGCTCCAAAATCCCATGATATAGAGCAGTCATGTCCCTAACTTAGTTGTGTGTCTCTACCCCCAGTGTCACCCTGTGCACCCAGCAGTCAGACAGGGACACAGGACTGAGTGCTCATCTGTGCCCCTCTCAAGGGTTCAACCTCCACAGCTCCCCCTCATCCACTGACCCATTGCTCTTAAGTGAACTCAATATACGGCAAGTATACAACTTCTCTTTCTCAAACTACAAACACAGCCAAGTGTCTTGTTCTGTTGGGGTTTGTAAGGTAGGTGGCAATAAAAGGCCAACGCGGGGGAGGAGATAGGGCCGCAGAACTAGGCAGACACAAACACCAAACATTCAAATACCTCAATGCATCCTCAAGGCTGGAGAGTTGGGCAGGAGTTTAGAAGGGTTCAGGACTCCAGAGAAGACAGAAGCTCATCTGCAGTCATTATTCTCCCACTTCCTACCTGGCTTCCTGTCCCCAAGGCACAACAATGGGCTATTAGTGTGATGGCAGACAATGGGCTACTCCAACAACTAGCAAGCTGGGGCGGCTGTGGCTGTGAGGGTCACCGTGTCATTGTCCCAGTTTCTGAGTTTGGCATTTTGAACTGGCTGCTGATAAAATCTGGAGACTGTATTTGCTTTCGTTTTAGAAAAATTAGGATATAGCCTAGAATCTGTCCCTGTTTCTTTTCCACAGTCTAGATAGCTAAAGTTCTTTATGATGACTGCATTTTAGTGCTAGTGTATTTATTAAGATACCCAAGAATAGGCAAGATGGCTCGGCCGGTAATAACACTTTCCACACAAGCCTGATCACCTGTTTGATCCCTGGAGTCCACATAAAAAAAGCCGGACGCAGCGGTGTTATCTGTAATCCAAGCACTCCTGTGGCAGGATGTGAGGTGGAGATAGAGACGGGAGAATGGTCTGGAAGCTTCCAGGCCAGCCAACCTGGAGTACACAGCGCAGCAGAAACAAGAAAGACCCGACCTCCATCCAAGAAGCCTTTAGGAGAGACTAACGCCCACGGTTGTCCTCTGGCCGCAGTGGCTGGCACTCACACACCCATACCAGACATATATACACAATTTTAAAAAGGTTTTAGAAAAAGACCCACAAAATAAGGTACATAATCACAAAAATCTTGCAAAATAGTGCAATACACAATTTTAAAAAGGTTTTAGAAAAAGACCCACAAAATAAGGTACATAATCACAAAAATCTTGCAAAATAGTGCAATGGGGCTTATTAAACCTGACTCTATTAAAAGCATGGGGATAGTTCACATCTCATTTGAACCACTCGCCACCTGAACAGCCTTGGTGACAGGACAGCTGTGGACCCTGGCTGTACTCCACTAACCACCCCTCACCCTGCCTGTTCTTGGCCCACATGTCATACTGCCTACTCACGGTCCCCAGGTGGCTGCACCAAGGCCTTCTAGAAGTCTTCTGTTTACACCTATAGTTTAAATTAAGACTTGAACAAAATATCTATAAACATGCCTGGCTCTGCAGACAACAGCTCTGAAGTGACTGAGAGTGGGTACTGTGCTGGCTCATCTCAACACTATCTCAGCAGTACAACGGCCTTCTGCTCTCAACCTTGGCAGGCTCCACCCACCAGACCCAGCCCAGGGAAGGGGACAGGCCCAGCACCATGGCCAGTTCATCCCCTCGACTCAGATGGGCCTCTGTGCCCATCAGAAATGGCATGTCCTTCTGCTAAACTCTGGACCCAGCTATAGCCTAAGACTCTAAATTTCAGGACACTACCCTAGCCCCTCCACCTCAGGAGAAGGACCAATCTCCTGAATATGCTGTGATCTTGATTCCAGTGAGAGCTAACAGACGAAGTTACATACACAAACGCTAAAATCCCTTAGAGAATCTGAGGCAGAGGAATTAGGGGACATAACTTCAGTGGTGAATTACAAAATCCACCAATCTTCCAAAAGAAATTGCCATTTCAGATCTAGGCAGAGAAGGAATTTATGTTCTGAGAACTGATCCATGTCAGGGGGAGGATGCCAGGAGTGTGCCAGCTAAATACAATATCATGAGAAATTTCTCAGTCCATTCATCAATGTGACAGTTTCCATTTAATGACAGAAGGGTAACTATAGTACATTTCACACACACACACACACACACACACACACGCACGCACACATGCACACACGCACGTACACACACGCGCCATGGCAAAGAAGAAGGAAGAGGAACTAGGGTATTCTCAAGGCCCAGACCCCTTGACAGAGATTACTCAGAAGAAAGGGACTCCTCAGCCAGGGAAGTGTCCCCCTCGGTGTCTGAGGGAGGCCTGAGCATGAGCAGCACTGCATGTAGACAGAAAACAGACAGACTCAAAGTAGTTAATGAAGAATAACCATTTACTTTGGCTAAATAAATGAGATGAACATGTAAAGACAATTATCTCGGGCTCCTATGCCTGATCCCCCTCCAGGGAGAAACGACATTTTTAAAAAATCTGTAAGAGATAGTATAATGTTCAGGGGGGAAAAAGTTTGGAGAAAAGTGACAAAATAAGAAACACTGGATTTCACAATGCTAACATTTTCCCAAAAAATGAAACTGTTTTTCATTTGTCTAAATCAATGAACATCTTCCTAGGAGAATCAAAGGAAATAAAGATTGCCTTAGAACACATTTTGTTAGACTTACCCCTGATCACAGTGGTCCTATGCTACAGAGTCAAAGCCCACACATACTCAAAAGCCAGTTGTAGTGGCGTACATCTTTTAATCAGAGCACTTGGGAGGCAGAAGCAGGTGGATCTGTGTAATTTTGAGGCGAGTCAGGGCTACAGAGTGAGACCAGGTCTCAAAACAAAACCAAAAACAAAAAACCCCCAAACCAAAGCCTGTAATCAAAAGCAGATCCCATGGGAAGCAGATACGTGTATTCCATCAGGTTAGAAACAAAACTGTTTTTAAGCACACTGCTTCTACAGAAGATACTGAGCTCAGCTTTTTTTTTTTTTTTAATTAAGACTATAACTGAGAATCTAAGGGCAGACTATCCTTATTTAAACCTTGTTTGGTCCAGGGCTGGAGGAATGGCTCAGTGGTTAAGAGCACTGGCTGCTCTTGCAGAGGACCCAGGTTCAATTCCCAGCACCCACATAGTGGCTAACAACTGTCTGTAACTCCAGTTCCAGGGGAATTCAACACCCTCTTCTGACCTCCTTAGGCATGGCATGATATGCGTACACTTACATACATGTAGGGAATATACTCATATGCATAAAATAAAAATAGTAAGAGAAAAACTTTGCTTGGTTTAAATTATAGGCTATTGATTAGAGGCCCCCTAATCTATTTCAATACACAAACTGGGAAGGCCAGCAGCGCGGCTGAGAGGGGATGACAGCACTCTGCTGGGAGTCTAGTCCCGGCTGCATGGAGCAGGGGTCTAGATTAACACTGGAGTGACTTGGACTTCAACTTCTGTAACTCTGCCTCAAGGAGCTCTAAAGCACCTACATGGATTGAAAACCATGTGGCTAATCTTTAGTTGGGATTATTTCTATGTGGATAAATAATCTTTTTTAAAGCACTGCTATGTTAAAGTATCTTCTCATAAAAAACCTTTTGTAGCTTCATACTTAAACAAAGCTCTGATAAAAGAAAAGTAGAGAGGACAAACAGTCCAGGGTGGCCTAAGCAGGCAGCTCTCCCAGGTCAGCTTCCTAGTTTACTGAGGGCAGAGGGGATGTGGAAAGGGAAGCGGTAGGAAGAAAATCCTTACCCTCCTTGGGTAAGAGGCGTTAAATTCATCTCCAATCCGCCGCAGCTCCTGTGCAATCCATATTTCGGGGCGTATATCTGCAGGTTCCTCCTGAGACTGCCTTATAGAAGCTGCGTGGGAACAAAGAAAACAACAATCAGGTTGGAGTCCCCAGCACTGAGACTGTCTGGCAGCAAATCCCCATCTCACAAACTTCTTGTCCTCTCTGGCCTCAGGAACTCAAGCTTTAAAGACTATTAAGACAGATTCTGCTATATAATTTTGGTCAATGAATACGTGATAATAATGCCACAGAATTGGAGATTCAGAATTATAAGAATTAAAAACATCCTGGCCCACTCATGATAATCCTCTTTCAAAAAGAATCTCCCCAAATGGTACAATGAGTCAAATAAGTATGCTAGGAGACAGCAAGATGACTCATTTTGTCATCTTGCCACCAAACCTGACCACCTGTGTTCAATCTCCAGAATCCACCTGATTGAAGTGGAGAACTGGCACCCAGAAATTGTCCTCTGCCCTTCATACACACATGATAGCGTGCGCACACACACACACACACACACACACACACACACACACACACACGCACACACACAAATATAATAATCATATAAAAGAAATATGTTCATGGGCTCAGGGGTGGCTCAATAGCAGAGAACCTGCCTAGCAAGCGTAAGGACCTGGGGTCCAACCTCAGCACCACACTAGAAAAAATATTATGCATGAAACATCTTAGAACATAAAATTTTAGTTTTCTTCCTAAAATAACCACGTTGATCTTATGACAAGGTAAAAATTTCTGGGAAAAATTCAAAGCCCACGATACGGTAGTCTTTCCCAAAACAAAATGGAAATCTGCAAAATCTGTTTAGTGACAGAAAGCTAGTCCAAAGGGAAGCATAACTGCATGCTTTACCTCAATATTAATGCAGCCAATAAAGATGGGTTCAAATCAGAAAACACCACATGGGGAGAGAGACTGTTTTGGGGTCTAGGAGCAAAAGCATTCTTGAGAAAAGAGAGAAGAGGGCACAGCCCATTCATTAAGCTGTCATCAGTATGCGCACCCAGCATCTTCATCCACTTGCTAATGAAACTATTAAAAGCCACATGACAGTCACGGAGAAACAAAATGTTTGCACACTACAAGAGCAACCACAGTGCTCGGGAGTTCGTAACATGCAAAGCGGAAGACAGACTTCAGGATTTCAACTCACATTCCATTCCCTCACCATGAAAATAAGCACACAGAACTTGCAGCTAAATTTCACACTCAGTAAAGCCGTTAAAGATACTTGGATTTCATAAAACACTATTTTTTTTTGTTTATATTTCTGTAAAAAATATGATGCATAGCTCTTAAAAAAAAAAAAAAACACAGAAAAGTGAACACTTCAAGAACTCTTGGTCCACCTTCCCTGCCTAGGGGAAAATTAACAATGACTCCGAAAGTGAGGGTTGTAATCCCAAGCACTCTGGAGGCTGAGGTGGGAGGACAGCAAGTTCCAAGTTAGCCTGGGCTACACAGTGAGTACCTATCTTTAAGGAAAAATAAAAGACTTAAGGAAGCAGGTATTCCATAAGGCCTCACTGGGGGAGAGCTGTACCCCCAAACTACCCACACTAAGCAACCAGAGAAACTGCTAGAGGAAATTGCAATGGGAGGTTCAGTTTTAGAGTAAGTCAGACAGACAGTGGTCCCTGAACACATATCCAATCATTTCTCACATAAATATTTCTACTCTTGATAGTAATATTAAAGTTTTATTTATTCATTTTTATCTTATGTATATGAATGCTTTGCCTTCATGTATGTACATGTACTATGTGTGTGCAATGCCCACAGAGGCCAGAAGAGAGCACTGGATTCCCTAGAACTGGAGTTGAGGACAGTTATTGGCTACCACATGGGTGCTGGAAACAGAACCCAGATCCTTTGCAAAAGCAGTCAGTGTTCCTAACTACTGAGTCATCTCTCCAGCCCTTAAAATGAAATTTTAAACAATTGATTTAAAAAAAAAAACAAAAAAACACCCTTAAGGGTAGATATAATGCCAGGTGGTATCAGTTCCCTTCTCTTTTCCTGAGTTTTCAGCCCTTTAGGGGTTAAGTGCCACAAGCATCAAATCATTTCATTTGTTTGAGGTGGGATATAGCAAAAGTTAGCTGTCACTCACCCTGGTCTCACCTTCCTAAGTACTGAGGTGGCAGACATGCGCCCCGACACCAGTTTTTATACTCTAGGCCGTCAAGCACTGTGTCTGCTTAGAATGCATCTTCTGTCTACAGTCTACTACAGGACCACATGCAGCTCTCACAGGGAGACACACCTACCATCTACACAGCTGAGCAGGCCTGTGAAATACCATGCCACCACGACAGATCCTGTCCAGACCTCAGAGCACCACTCATTTCTCCCTACACATGATGGAAAACAAAATCTATCTTCAACCTTGGAGTCAAAAACGAAAAAAGCATCAACTATCCATTAACGAGCAACAGATCCCATGTTTTATAAAGCTGGTGGTTATAAAAGTTGATGACCCACTTACCCAACAAATGACCAAGTTATTCAACAAATAACCATGAGCCACGACGTTCTGTGAGGTATTCTGGATGCCAAGACCCTGGTCCCACAGAGCTGAAGTTCTTGTGAATAAATTTCTCTTTTTTTCTTTGGTTTTGTTGAGACAAGGTGTCATATAATAGAGGCTGCCCTCTAATTTCTATGTAGTCCAGGCTGACTTTGAATTCCTGATCCTCCCGCCTTGACTTCCCAAGTGCTAAGATTATAGGTATGTGGCCCCCATGCCTGTTTCTTTCTGGATTCAGATAGTTACAACATGGTCCATAAATTGCTTTAGCTCTCAGCAGGCCATTCCTGAGTGCTGAAGAAGCCTACCTTCTTTTGAGCTACTCAAACTTTCTTCTGGGCAAGGGACATTTTGAAATGGCTCCATGTTTTTTTTTTTAATATTTTATTATTTTTATTTTATGTATATGAGTGTATTGCGTACATATCTGTGAGTGCACCCATGTTGTGCAATATCCATAAAGGTCAAAAGAGGGCGTCGGATCTCCAAGCACTGGAGTTAAGGATGGTTGTTAACTGCCATGTGGGTGCTGGGAATTGAACTCGGATCCTCTGCAAGAGCAGCCAGTGCTCTTAATTGCTGAGCCATCTCTCCAGCCCCTGGATTCACTTTTCTCTTGGGCTTTTCATGAGTAGTCTTGTACAGCAGCAAGAACTTTCCTAAGCATCTGTCACCTGCAGTTATGTTGCCCTTTATGTACCAAGAGAAATTGTCTCTTATAAGCATCTTCAGCTTCCATTATGACACAAAACAATGTCAAATTAATGTGCTCAAGCTGTAAAGAAGGGCCTTCTGATTTCTACCTACCCCTCCCTTGCTTGTGTGGCTCAGAAGGCGGTCTGGCTATGGCTGGCAACTGGAAGCAGTACTAAAGGACCTACTCAGGGTCACAAGTCAGCTTATCAAACCTAGCACTTAGCAAACACAACAACACCGCCAGCAGTGACAGATCCCTGGTGGCCAAACTCAATGTTCATCTTAGAGATAAATGCCCTGCTGTTTGGGGGGCAGAGGGGGGATATACAGAGGAGATAAGCAGACAACCTGCTTCTTCCATAAAGAAAACTTCAGTGGCTGTCAGCTCAAGAAAGTGCACTCTTGTAAATGGATCCCCACAGCCTGGCAGGGAGGCTCAGTGTGGGAGCTGAGGCTGAGGTCCATAGACCAGACCTTGAAAAACATTAAATAAAGGCCAGAAACAGTGGCAAGGCCTGGGGCTCAATCTATGTCTTCTGAGAGCAGGAGGGTGTATTAACCCAAGATAATACACTGTAATTTGCTGGCAATAGCTCCAGATTAGTAAGCAAGCCACCAACTGTACTTAGGTGTAATTTAAAAAAGCTGTTACAAAACAGTAATGTACAATATAAACACCTCTTGCAGGAGGGTTTGCTGTGTCTCAGATATGCTAACATACCACCTAGCATTTGTTTTGTTTTTTTGAGACAGGGTCTCACTATGCAGCCCCTGATCTCTCACTATGTAGCCCCTGCCTAGGCTGTTCTCAAACTCAGAGATCTGTCTGCCTCTGCTTCCTAAGTGCTGGGATTAAAGGCTTGCACCATTCTACTGTGGTTGTTTGTTTTATAGACCAGGAGTTTTCCTCAGTTTTGCTTTTTATTTGTGATCCTGGAGATCCCAAGACTTCTGGAACATGAGGTTAAGTGCTCTATCACTAAACCACAGCCGCCTAAGTAATTTGCTTTTTGAGAAGCAAATACTGTCCTCAATCTATAAGCTAAAAATTATTGGCTAGGATGCCACAGTAAGGGAACAGGTAACATGTACACAGTAGTCAGGCACTAAGTTACACACTAAGATCCTACACTTTAAAAAGATTTGTCTATTTTGTATGTGTGTGAGTATATATAATGTGTGTGGAGACTGGAGGGTGTTAGGTGTCCTCTATCACTCTTTGCCCAGTCCTTTTTGAGGCAGGGTCTCTCTGAACCTGGGATTTACATTTTTCTCCACTTGGCTGGAAGCCAAGAAGCCCCTGCAATCCTCCTGCCTCTGCCCTCAGAGCTGGAGTTGCAGACGTGCATGGATGCCTGCCTCATTACCACGGGTGCTGGGCATCTGCACTGTGGTCTTCATGATTATGTAGCAAGTTCTCTGAACCACCGAGCCACCTCTTGAGCCTCGATATGCTAAATTTATACAACAATAATTGTATTATGTATTTTATGAAGAATTCTTTTAAGATGGGGGAGTTTCTATCTACTTTTAAAGCAATGCCTTGTTCAATAATCCCAAATATTATTTTTCAAGCAAGAAAATCTCTTCTTTTAGGGAAGCTTTATGTTAAACTCACCAAACAGTTTTAGCATTAGTGACTGCCACAATTAACCAATTGCCAAACGAGAACAGAGCAGAGCAAAAGAATGGGGTCCAGGCCATCAGCACCACAATGGCCAGGTGGAGTCTGGATATAGCAGTGCTAATTGGCTAAGTTCCACTGCATAGTTATCCAGAGCACAGACCACTAGGGTGGCAAAGAAAACCTGTGGCTG